CATATAACTTGATAAGGTTTCGCAATGGTATTAAAAATTGTACTTCTACTGGTCAAAGACCTAAAAAAGAGTAGTCTAGTTTAAAATGATATTCAAGAGTTAGACTAGACTTGCCGTCTATTTATAATTTTTTTAAATATGCATATTTGTGCAGAATTTTGATGTATTTTATAGCTAAACCTTGGCATTTGTCAAAAAAGTAATGCAAGTGACAAACTTGTGTTATTAAAATAGCATTTCTGTTATTGTTATAGTAACATAAATATGAAAAATATTTGAATTAAATTTTATGAACATGAAGTTGGAAGCACTTTTTAAAATTTTTGACACTGGCTTGTTAGAATTTTTATTATGTACATTATAAAAAAATGTAACAAGTTAAAGTTGTCATTAAAACCTAAGCACAGCACACGCAGTATTCATTGAATTAAATAATTCTATTTTATTTGCATTAAAACCTATTGTAACCTGTTAAAACTGTACATAAAAAATATTTCAATAGTACCATTGTTTCAATTGAGCCAGTGTCAAAAACATCATTTTCAAACTCCATCACAGACTAGATAATTGGATATATCCAATGTCAACAACTTCAAAGTATTAGCAAAGAAGAAAAAGAAAATTGTTATAGACTTTAAAATAACATAATGGTAAAATATGATGAATACATCATTACATTTTCAGAAGACCCACTTTTGAAGTTGTTACGATTGGATCTGAATTTGATTCCATTTAAAAATTAAGTAATATTGTGCACAAAAATGTGCAATTTTATGTAATTTATTTAATTATTGGATACAAAATATTAAAGAGAAACAAAATTTCATAAATTTCAGATCTAAACACGAATTGCACTAACTGCCACAATAAACTATGTACTTATAAAGTAAGAGGCCATTACAATTTAAATGCATACAATGCTTCTCCACATCTTAAAAAAAAAGCCAATAAAAAGATTTGATATGTACAATGCCTATTCTAAACTAATTTAGACAAGTACTTTACAGACAATGCTCTAAATTTTAGAACATTTATTATAATACATTACAATTATTGCCATAATAGTTATCAGTTTCTGTAAACAAATAGTAAATGGATATACTAAAATTTAATGGTACTGTTGGATGTTTTCAAATAAAAAAATGGTGCTTTTATTACTTTAGAACAATAGTTTAGGACACATCTACACACATCTAATCAATATGGACATTTAAACTACTATTACGTGGAAGAGACTATAATGGACTTGCTGTTATATTTAAAATTAATAATTATTTCCAATACATAATTAGCAAACTCAAGTTTTAGACATTTGTATAAAATTGAACACTTTTCATACTACATAAAACACTATTCGTTCACAACCTACCTTTTATGTGTTTATCTATGGGTTATGAGTCAATTTCACTTCATAAATAATAAAAGTACCTTTAAGACATTCTTCAGGCCAGCTGTTACACTAATCATTTTCCAGTTTTACACTTTTGTTAATATTTACACTTCAACACACTTTGACACATTAATCACACTGTGACCGGGCTACTAGGTAGCGGGTATATTGTTTTTTCAGTCTATTTGCTGTACTTGCATCACTGAGTTTGACTGCGGTAGTGCAATTTCGTATTTAACGAGACCGGTGCCTCTATCAGCTGTTACAACTAAGCTTCCAAGTTCTTTGACGTCATTTCTGTAAATATTATTGGAATTAGTAAAATAAGATAACAGATTCCTTGTGAAGTTGAAAATGCGGCACAAAAGCAACTTTAAGATTAATTTAGCCAACTATGCAGCTGTGAAAGAAAAAATTACTAGTCAATTAAAACGTAATTGAGCCGAAGACTCTTATTGTTTTTTGATATCTTTGTTACACTCTTCGTAATTATAATCATCACCATTTGTGTCTGATAAAAGCAAATAAAAAATTTGATATTGATTTGTTTGTACATGTGAATTTCTTTTTCCTTATTGGCAGACAAGGCTTTTCTGTTGAAAACACCTATATGTATAAACTTTCTTATAAATGATAGTGAATAAATTAAAAATACTAAATGAACATACCCTTCCCTCTTGGGCGTGATATGATGTATGGGCTTTCCGTCTCTTGATACAATATGTAACTGTGAAGGCAGCAGTCTCCGACCTCCCACAGTGCCCACCAGTATCTGATTACCAATCACTTGGCCCGATCTATTTGTTACCTGAAACAGAGGCCCCTGCTTGGATAAACCCACTACCATAAAATATAATATTTAACATTTATGATTTGTTTAAAAAAGCATAACTTATTTATAGATTGTTTGTGATATGCAAATGGCTTAACTTGGTACATATAAAAAAGTAATTGGGAACATATTTTGATTAATATGAAGATTGAATGTTTCGAAAGATACAGATAAAACTGCTCATTCTTACCACTTGTATATGCGCGGGTTGCTCGTCCAATTCCATTGTCTGATGCTGTACATGTTGCGCGACTTGTTGCTGGACTTGTTGGGCAACTTGTTGTGCCGCCTGTTGCGCTGCTTGCTGCTGCGCTTGTTGCGACACTTGTGTCACCTGTTGCGCTTGTACTTGGGTCTGTATAATATTGAAGTCGAGACTCAATTATTCTAAATAAAAAATGTAGCCAATTCAAACAAAATAGATCTTCAATCTAAAAATCGCACGATATCTAATAAATAAATAAAAAAATTTTGTTTACTTAAACTGTTTGTTAAAAAACTATTTAAACTTTACAACTATTCAAGAAACTACAAAACATTTTAATAGCGTAACTAGAACCACTAAAGATCAAGGGGTTGAATATTAAATTAAACTTGTAAAGGTAAATAAGCCCGTTTTAATCCAATCTTTAAAATACATTCGTAATATTTGCACAAATAAGACGTCAACCAATTAAAACTTGGCGATCTTCTATCAATATTTTTTAAGGTCATAAACTATTGCTTATAATACTCACATTCCTAGGCGGCAGATCCATATGCTGTCGCTGATGTAGCATCAAGTGGTTCTTTTGGAAGAAAGCTTTTCCGCAAGTTTCACAAGCGTGGGACCGTAATGTGCAACTACCTTCTGGATGCCTGAAAAGTAAATAGCATTGTAAAGTTTCATAATAGGTGAAAGCCTTATCTGCCTTCTAGCTAAAAAAAGCATATTAGCCATGAAAATAATATATTATTTTTCTGTACACCATTAAAAAAATGTCCCGCTGAAAGTTCTCCCAAAAAACCTAATTAAAGGCAAAATATTTATTCAATTCGAACTATTCTTTTCTGAGATTAGCGCGTTCAACTTTCAGATTTATAACTTTAGTATACGTAACTAAATTTTCCTCTTAATGAAATAAATACCTCCTATGATGCGCCAACAGTCCATGTTTCGCAGCAAAGCCCTTTCCACAGTCAACACAAAAATGTACTTTCGGTCGTGGAGGTGTTATATGGTGATTCTGTAATACACAATTAGAGAAGTGACTCCAGTGAAGTAAAGTGAAGTGACAGTTGTCCTAAGTAGATCTATAAAAGTTGTAAAAAACAACGCAATTTGGCCTCTGTAATATTACATTATAAATAAACAAACATGTGTATTACCATATTATTCATAAAAAAGTAAACTTTGATTCCCTTCTTTTCCTAGCTTTGCTTGTATTTCATAAATATTTTAACTTACCGTAGCTATAACTTGCGTGTGAACAACATTACTGGGGTGATTTGACGAAATTATTTGTATTGGTTGATCTGAAAAGAAAAAAACGCGTGCTTGACAATAATAATAATAATAATAATAACACTTAATAATACATCATATAAGGCCAATAAAAATAAGCAAGTGGCGCTATGAGCGTTTCTATTTTTTGCCAATATCTATCATTCTCATGTCCCACAAAGTAGACAGCTAACAACTTTTTTAGCTTCAACTTTTTTACACGCTTTATATTAGCTTCACCTGTATGTATGTATGTATGTAACCGACTCCTTCGGACTCGATTTTGACCCACTTTAAACGGACAGATTTAATTAAAATTTTGCGCACCTGTCAAAGATCAATGACAATGCAATAATCCGAAAAAAAAAAAAATTAACTAAAAAATAAATAATAGTTAAAAAAAACTAAAAAACACGTTTTTAAAGCACATCAAACTAAAAAGTGAAAAATAATTCCTAATTTAGGCTGAAAATGGTAATGAACAAAAAATACTGGTATTATTGTGAAAAAGCGTGGGTTGCTCGATAGACGAAAAATATGGCACAGAGTTTTTTTAACTATTATTTATTTTAAGACAAATTACATAATATATTTTAATTATTCATTTTCATTAAATAAAAAACATCCAAAACGCCAATGTATATAAACGTACATGTCCCATACTAAAATTTGTAAATTCAAACTCAATTTATTTTTGTATCGTCGGAGATTAAGCAGCATGCATTAAATATTAATAAAAATGATCGAAACTATTAAAAAGAAACATTTTAATCTTGTCCCAGAAAAAGTTCCCTTTTTGTTATCAATTTTAGGCGTGTTTAAGCTAACTTATACCAATTTATTCTAGTTTTTTCGATAGGGAGATTCGTTACGTTTAATTTGGTATCACCATTTTGGATAAACAATGAGTTTAAAACGGTCCAGCGTGTTATGTAGACGTTAATAAATTTTGTTTCGCATTTTATTCCCGCTTTTGTTACCCTTATTTCTTGGAAAGTAGACAATATTTAATATATTCTTTTTTCATTAAAGGGTAGTAAAATGCTTTATCTCAATATAATTGCACAAAACTAAATGGTACATTAATAACAACAGTTCCATTATATGTGTTAATAAAATTAACAGCGGATTTGTTACCAATTCTTTTGTTAAAGTAACGTATAACTGGAAAAAGGTTAGCAACAAAAAAGGAATTATAAAGTTCTGTTTATATTTGATAGTACAAGAAAATGCCACTAATTCTGGCAGAACTAGACTTCGGAAGGTATACTCACATACAGGAATGTCGACTGAAATAAGTACTCTTAACTTATTAAATTCGACGAAAACAGCATATTTTTTTGTGACAAAAAATATAGAAATGCTCCTTTAGTTTTAGAAATAACCTTTGAAAATGTGTGGTCTTATATAGTAAAAATATATGAATGCCAAAAGTAAATTATATTATGTACTTACTGTGTGGAACTAATCCGGGTTGTAAGGCAGCAGTTAGCGCACATAAGTCGGTGACACACGTGCGATCGCCCGCATGCAAACGGACATGTAGAGACAGCGCTTCCTGCAAAAAATTGATCATAATCATTTATTCCTTTAAAAAAATAGAAGCAACTCCAAAATATAATTCCTTTATTTGTATACTGTCTATGAAGATACTTTTAGGCAAATTTAGTGTTAGTTATATATAACTACAGATTTGAATAGACCCCTTTATATTATATTATATATAATAAACTAGCTGACCGGGCTAACGTCGTTTTGCCATATATATCATTTTTAATAAAAAAATAGGGGTTGATCGTAGAGGGGTGAAAATTAGGGGTTTGTATGTATTTTTTAATGCTGTATCATAAAATAAAAAAAACAGAAAAAAATATCTAAAAATAAAATAAAAAATATCTAAAAATAAAAAAAAAATATTTAGGGGTGGACTACCCTTAACATTTAGGGGGATGAAAAATAGATGTTGTCCGATTCTCAGACATACCCAATATGCACACAAAATTTCATGAGAATCGGTCGAGCCGTTTTGGAGGAGTATGGCAACGAAAACTGTGACACGAGAATTTTATATATTAGATAATAGGAAATAAATTACCTTATTATTGAAACATGAACCACACTCAGGACAGGCATATCCAGGTGCCTTTTCAGTTAGTATTTGTCCATCAGCTCCAATCACCTACAAAGTTATAGAAATGTAGTATAGAAAGCATTAACTTAATATTTTATAAATAGTAGTATTGCTCGGATATATTGGCTATTAGTAGTACTTTTCACTGTGACTACAGAATTAAGATGACAGAATGATTATAAAAATCTGTAATGTTTAATAGTTGAGAGCAATGTTGGCCTAGTGGTTAGAGTGCAACACTCATCTTTGACCAGGTTTGAACTTCGGCTGTGCAACAATGAACTTTCTGCCCGCTGAAAAATATTTCTGTGCCCAAAACAAAATCATTACTATTATATATTATAACTAAGTCTTGATCAATTGGTTGTTAACTTATGGTTTTTATGACACACAAAATAGGTTTGAGGAAATGCTTACTTGTACTATTTGAGGCTTAAAATCATCTTGTTTTATGACTGTTTGCTGATGTTGCTGCTGCTGTTGTTGCTGCGCTTGCTGTTGTGCTTGTTGTTGTGCCTGTTGTTGAGCTTGCTGTTGGGCTTGTTGTTGTGCTTGCTGTTGCTGAACTTGTTGCTGCTGCTGGACTTGCTGCTGTTGTTGAACCTGTTGCTGTTGTTGAACTTGCTGTTGTTGTTGAACTTGTTGCTGTTGTTGAACTTGTTGTTGTTGCACTTGTTGTTGTTGAGCTGTTGTAGAGAGGCAGTGCCTTGCCATTTTGCAATGCTGTTGCAGTTCTGGTTTTGTTTTGAATGCTTCCCCACATTCGAAACAAGCTACTGCATCCTCTCCGGTGTGTATTCTGGAACAACACACAAAGAGATATTTTAGATTTAGTTTCACACATTTTAATTTAATTAAATTTTTTTCCCCCAAAAAAAAGAGGAACAAATCAAAACCCTTAAAAAAGGACAGGGAAAAGGGGAAAAAAAAATAAAAAACACTAATTAAAAGAAAATGTAAAAACGAAGATAAATGAAAATGGAGGAAATAAAAGTAACAAACTAGGGAAAATATAACATGCCCTACGAAAAAAAAAAATGAGAATATGGATTAGGAATATTACAAATTTAATATAAAAAATTTTTTAGTCTATTTAAGGTCTAAAAAATATAAACTTTTTTCTATTCCACAATATGATAATTATAGATAGATATTTAAAAAAAATATGGTATCAACTTGTAATTCTCACTTCAAATGTGCTACAAGTGTCCTCTTCTGCAGGAACTCCTTGCCACAGACCGGACAAGCATGGGGCACTTTACCATGCATTCTGCCGTGATTAACAAGCTGAAATTTTCTTGCAAATGCCGCTCCGCACTCCCCGCATACGAATGGCGACAACGAGCCGTGGAAACGACTATGCATTACCAGGTGTTCCTATAATTCAATGTTACATTAGTAAAAATTCATACAGCAATGGTAAAAGTTGGATATTTATTTCTTATGTTGTCCTTGGACACACCATACCAAACTAGCAAATGTGTGATGATGTCCATAAGTGTAAATAATTTTTAATGAGACATATGTCTTATTATGAAACATGGATTATGTTTATTATGGTTATGATGGTTACTATATACATAAATACCTATGTTTTATAATAAGGCAACTTTAGCAGGTCTATTAAATTTAATCTGTAGACAGAGAGACTCAGTTACCATAGTATTAATGAGCAAACCTTCTGGGCAAAGCTCTCTCCACAGTCATTGCAGACGTACGGCCTTTCACCGGCGTGGTACTTGCTATGCGTCACTAGATGTCGCTTTAAGGGAAACCGGCGTCCACACTCACCACATAGGAATGGACGGTCACGACTATGTACCTGTACAATGATATTATGTTTATAGTCCTTTATAAACTAATGCTTTGAGGTTGCCTGCCTGTTCTGAGTTAATGGAAATTTATAATCTTTTTTTAATATACATATAATATTTATGTAAAAATAAACAATGGATATAGGAAATAAAGTAAAGTGAGTTTAAACACTTTTAAAAGAATTATAGGCGTCTTAACAGTCTTAAAGGTCGTGTACTAATGGAGAAACAGTATTATTATATTCTCTGGCTAGTGATACCATAATTTTTAATGTCCATCTATACTCTATGTAAAGTTTAATTTGTGAAGCATATCTGAGTCCTAAAGTTTTTTAATAAGAAAATTTTATTAATATCTGTTGACTGTAGGTAAATAAAAAAAATCATACCCTGGAGTGAGTAACAAGATGATGTTTAAGAGTGAAGGCCATTTTACATTCATGGCACCTGTAAGGTCGATCTGCTGAGTGCAGTAATAAGTGAGTGTTGAGACAGTGCTTCCTGGCGAATGCCTTACCACAGTGCCCACAAATATGTGGTCGTTCACCTGAAAGCAAATTTTTACAGTAAAACAATCTACAAATTTATAATTAGGTCATAGTAATAAGCTTTTTATTCACATTATAATTAGGAAGTCATTAAAACTAAATGAATATTATGTTGAAGATAGGAAATATTTGGTTTAGAGCAGTTAACATATTACATACATTTAAAAACTAACCTGTATGAACTCTTGCATGTGTAGTAAGATGATGTTTCAGAAGAAATGACTTCCCACATTCATCACAGGAGTATGGTCGCTCTTTAACTGGCTGAGTTGGAGTTTGCATCTGCATTGTGTTGTTCATTATCTCGGTCTGTGAATACACCATCTAATACTTGCTTACTATACAATTTCTAAAACTACGTGTCTCTAAAATCAAAGTCTAATATGAAATGCACAAAAGAAGGAACTCATCAGAATTACACAGGTTATTTATATGTTTACAAGTGAACATCACATTTTTAAGAAATGTTTGTAGTCTATATACTTATCATATATTATTTTGTTAATTTTAATAAAATCAAAGCCAGCCTTTACCTCCAACCAAACCCACCAACATAGGTAATATTTTAGTTTAATATTAACCAAGTAAACAAATCTTCTTTAAATACATATGACACAATTATAAAAATACTTACTTTTGGTGAATTATTTGTTCCAGGTTCTTGTTTTGTATGTAACAGCTGGATTTGCTGATGAACAGATGTCTGTATAGTTTCTTGTTGAGTCTGCTGTGCTGTCACTTCTGATAGTGTTTTTATACCATTATTCAATAAAGTTTGACTAAGCTGCGAGGTGTCTATTACAGGTGTTGCTATACCTTGAGCTTGTAGGGCTCTTTTCATTAGGATTTCATTGCATTCTTCTGCAGTTAATTGTATAGGTCCAATTGGTGTTAAAAATGGTTTGGATGCTAAAGTTGCACCTGTGAAGGATTTTATTACTTTAGATACATTTTCTTTTTTAAAAAATACGCTTAAGAATAGTTGGTCAAATACTTGTTTAAATAGATTAATTAATTTAGTACAATCAATAATATAGGATATAATTCTTAAGAGTGGCTCGAAATCATTATCTTAAAAAATGTTTTAAACAGAAATAACACTAACAGTCGCTGTGGATAGTAGCTGTCTGGTTTTGCTGAGAAACCCTATTTAGTGTTTGTGTTGGTTCATTCAGTACAAACATTGCTGTTCTTCGCCCGGACCCTGGAGTTCCTGTTGTGAGAACTCTAGTGAGTTGAGCTCCAGCATTTGATGCAACAACTGTACCAACTTTTTCTTGAACTTGAGGTGTCTTATGGGACATAACAGTAAGTGTTGTTTCTGGAGACACCTATAACAAATTAATTAAGATGACGATTAATCAGTAGTTGCATAAAATAAAGAACAACAATTTTCTGACCATGTTTACAAATCAACAAATATTTTGAATTAAGAAATTGTAATAATCCGTAGCAAGAAGCTTTGATGTAACATGTGATTTCAAATCATGAATTTACAGTACTTGTACTTTGTCAGGGATTTTATTAAAAACAAGAATATTATATTTAATAACCTTGGAAGAACTACTTGATCTGTAAAGCATTATGTTCAAAGAAATACAATTACAAAATTAGATTAATGGATGGTACTTATAATTTATCTTTATTACAAGTATTGTAATAATTGAAACTGAAACTTAGATGTATTTAATACTACTGTTCTTTTTAAAATTCTAAAATCTGTACATATTTGTTACTGTGAATGCTCTATTGTTATTCTACAGACTGTCATACAGAATTGGACTATCATTAGTTGGAGCTAAGCAAAAAGTATAGCAAAAAAATCTTTTGTATTTTTTTATATTTTACATCAATATTCAGTAAAAATAACAATGATCATTGCATTCATTTTTTAAATCTCCAAACCAGCATAGCAAATATGATGAGACTTAAGAATATTATAATAATATTAAACTTACTGTATTCCCTAAAGTATAACTCATACTGCTTGGTGTTTCGACTTCGCCCTTTGTGAGATCCGCAGAGCTAGTAAAGCCCCACGAATAAGCGAACCCAGAAACATTAGTTGGCGTCGGCATACACATTTTCGCAAATTATAACTTTTCACCGCATCGAAATATAAACAAACCAACACAAGTCCACTCTACACTAGTAAACAGTAGTGTCATGACAGTTTAGCCATTATATTTTCACGTACGCTTTCACAACCACAAGCACACTAACGCAACACACGGTCCGTCAATCAGACCGCCGAAATCCAAAAAAGACGATTTATATCACTAAGTTTTATTAATATGAAGTTATTTATGCACTTATTTGACAAATATAGTGTAATTTTCAGCAAATTATGCATATCAAGTTATTTTATAGGCGGCACAGGACGCTATGAACTTCGCTGACACGCACGTAATCTGATGTAAAAGTTTTTATAGATGACTACAAAAACGTAAGTTACCACGTTTTTCAATCAACTTAAGATATGGAATATAATGCTATTCAACGAAAGTCTATCAAATATGGGAAATCATGAAAACAATTTCATTATCGCACACACAAGAAACCCGACGCCATTTTATTGTTTATGGTTTTAACTTTTTTCTATCAAGGTAATAGTCAACAGCATAGACTATCTCGATAGGCAAAAAATATGTTATGTGCATAATGTTATTAATTTTACTTTGGTGTTATTAGCTTTGCAGCGGAACTGTAAAAAGGATGTAATTTAATATTTTAAAGACTGACAAATCTGTAATCACCACAATTCCATTACATTTTATGGAATAATTATAGGCGGAGTATATTCTGTTATCTGTATGTAATCATTGTCAAAGATAAAACTCACTAATTGAGAGATGTCAAATTTGACTTTTATTGTAATAGTTAACTTGTAACGTTTTATATTCAATATAAATATTATCATAAAAATAGTTTTAAGTTTCTTTGATTAGTACTGTTTATTGTTACACAGTTCACATTATATTCTTGCTTAAAATATTAAATCTCCTTCAAAATGAATTCAATGTCTATGGATAAGGACGATGCGTCGTCTCTTCTCGCCGTTGCTACTAATCATCCTCTAGAACAATTTGTTTTACTAGCAAAAGGTGCAAAGGGTTCTGCATGCGCCGAACTCATTAAACAAGTTCTGGAAGCACCTGGAGTTCATGTCTTCGGAGAACTTTTAGAAATGCCGAATATTAAAGAGGTTAACTTATTGTTGATTAAATGGAATGGCTAAAAATACGTAAAAGAATTAATTTAAGATGGAGATAAATCAATTTTATTTTTGTATTTTTCAGCTTGAAACTGGACCCTATGAAAAACATTTTAAAACACTAAACCTCTTTGCATATGGAACCTACAAAGAATTTTTGGAGAATACATCAGATTATTTAGAATTAACTCCAGCTCAGTGTAAAAAATTGCAACATTTGACAATTGCAACTTTAGCCACCCAAGAAAAATGTATTCCGTACAGTGTGCTATTGAAAGAATTAGATATTAAAAATGTTAGAGATTTAGAAGATTTAATTATTGAAGCTATTTATGCTGGTAAGTATTAATTTGATAAAGAAATTAATAATTATTGATACATCATATATGAATGTGTTTAGTCCATGTATGATAATTCAATTTCATTTCAAAACTTCAAAAACATAATTACTCAAGTCTTGTTGTCTATACAATGATAAACTGTAGCATGACACTCACTCTAAATGATGAATTTTTAGGCTGCCATAGTTAATAAGAATTGCAGCAGTGCACATTCTTTTCTTTGTAATATTGTTGTTTTATTTTGAAACCTGTATTTGCCTCTACAATTAGCAGTATGTGTCTGTATAACAAAACCTATCCATAGAGCTATCATCTTTACTATATATAGAGTTTACTCTGCATTTTCTTAAGGTTATATTGTAAGTATTTAGTTTGGTTATAGATTATTAATTTTGCATACTTCTACTTATTTTCAGATATAATTCATGGTAAATTGGATCAAGAATGCAAACGTGTAGAAGTAGATGTTGCATTAGGCCGTGATGCGCGCTTAGAAGATGCAGCTGACATTGCAGATGTTCTTGCTGGCTGGTGTAATGCATGTGAAGCTGTTCTAACATCAGTAGACCGTCATATTGTGAGAGCTAATAATCACAAACAAAGATCAATTAGGCATCAGCAAGGCATTGATCAAGAGGTAATCAAAACTCAATTTTATAAATCCAAATTTCTAAAAGTAGGAAGAGGTATCAATAATACTGAGGAATTGCAAACCAACCATATCACTAAAACTAGAATTAGATGTCTAGACAGAAGTATTTTGGGGAAAGTTTTAACACTACATCCAATATAAAACAATAATTATGAGAGTCAACTAAATAAATAATAAAAATAGTCTGCTAATTCAAAGCGCGCCTCTTAAAAGTTATAAGAAAATAATAAACCAGAGCAATGTCACAAAACTAACACATTTATAAAGACCTTTAATGCTATTATAAACTTTTCTATTTGGCAGGAACACCAAAATTTGTATTACTATTTATATAACTATTAGAATTTAGAATAGTTATAATAAGCTGTAGAAATGCATAAATACACAATATTCAATTGTAGCATTATTTACAGATATTATACATAAAGAAGACATTGAAGGCTCAAGCAGAAAATGATGAATCAGCAACAGGTGGTGGCAGTGAGTCTCACTCTGCTCCTAAAAAGAACTCGGGCAAAGGCAAAATACCTCGCAATTCTGCAAAGTTCTGGCAAAAAACAACATAACTTGTATATTTGTAAATACCTAGCCATGTGATATAATATAATTAAACTTTACTACTTGCAAGCATTATAAAACTATCAGGTGTTGTTGTTTCATTGCACCTTTTTTTCTTATTTTGTAAAAACATAATGGAGATAGATGGTGTCAATGCTAAAAATACTACCTTGCTTGCCATATCCTATTATTTTGTTAATAATAGGAGTGGTTTTATAATTCAAATAATGGAAATTATAGCAAAAGATAAGTCATAATTGAAGAACAAAGTATTGTCGCCAGTATCAAGTAGACATTAGTTGTTGTTTCGGTTAATAGTTGGTACTTGGTACCTAATGAACTGTTAGTTTTCTGGCAACCCAATGTGGCTGTCACTTTTACTCTGCAGTGTGTCGTATCTGTCGTAAGTTCTGTCAAATGCAGGAAAAGGACGTAAAATAAATTGTTATGTAACGATCTAGCCTAGCGACAAGGACAAAAACTAGCCCGAATCAAAATAAGAAAAACGAGTATGCGAATTTAGACTTTCGAGATCGTTTGTTTTTGACGCAGCAGCGCAATCAAAGTGCGCAGGCAGTGCAACGATTATCACGTTCGCAGGCCACTGGAAAGTGATGTAAATAACACGTTAAAGCCTTAACATTGTAAACAAAGACTTTGCAGTACTTACTGAACCAATATTTACCTAGAAATCGTGTCGTGACTGCTTACAAATCTAATCCCAGTGAAACTACGACACTAGTGATATGACTTGAATAAAATGAATCCGTGATATCCAACGAAACAAAGACAATTGCATAAAGACATTCATTTTAACAAGTTTAATATACGAGTGTTTTTTGTATTGGATGAACTTGAAGGCAAGTATGCCGTTTGCTAGTTCACCTATGCATGAATTCATCAAATCATGGTCTTTATTTGCATTCTTATAAAATTGTTTTGTATAAAAAGTTAAAAGTTGTCGTTTTAGACGTTTAAACAAATTATATTCGTATGCCAATTTCATCACCTTCCATTTTATAATTACAAATCAATAATATAATTTCAACTCATTGACGATGTTTGTAGACCTATCAACATTAAACGCAATGTTAAATCTTATAAAGACTATAGAGTAATACATACACATCAATTACAAGGTACACGTATTATAATAATAATAATGTTATTCTCCAGATCATTGTTGTGAAGACAATCAGCTGTTTTTATTGAGGGGAGTGCGGGGAGCAATTGAACCGGTTTGGCTTGTCCGCCTCCTGCCTCTTGAATGTCTTTGCACGTCTTTGTGCAGACTTGTAATAAACTAGCGATGCGCCTCGGCTTTACACTGGAATCCTTGACCAGTAAACCTTGAAAAAATAAATTTACCTAACCGCCCTGTTGAAACACTCTATTAGTAAAAACTACAATAAATTCCGTGTAGTAGTTGAGTTTATGGCGAACAGACAGACAGATAGACGCCGCGAAAGAATTTGTTTTTTGTAGGCATTATCAAGCTCTACAACTTATTCTAGAACTCATGATATATCGCTCATCGTTACCGTACACTACGTTAGAAACATTTTTGTCGATCGTTTATTCTACGACTTACTTTGCACAAAATCGGTTTAGTAGATCCAAAGATGTATTAGGGATTTACTCAACCTCACAAATTTTACTCTTTATAATATTAGTATTGATATACCTATTTATCTTGTCTATTGGGAATTAAGGTGGTACTGGTAGTTTATAAGTATTGTGTTAATATCTGTTCAACCTACCAAATTTTTAGCTTGTCTTTCATATGTGGATGCGCAGAATATAATAGGATCTAGATACAAAAGCTTTTTGAATAATCTTATCTAAACGTTGATCAACATCTCGACTGTCTGAAGATATCACGTAACATCACTTTAAAATTATAACAAGTTAAAGGTGTATTCTTATAGGCTCTTGCCCAACCAACCCTCAGGTCACGAACTAAGCCGGTAACTATTCGTAGATAACGGCCCACATGTGTCTTATAAGGTTTCATATTATGATGTTATGGATTATCATATGTAGTATGTGTATACAGTGTACACATATACCCTTAGGTAACAATTATCACCACGCTCCTTGAATGCAGTGCCTTAATATCTAAGCTTTGCATGTTTTCCAACAAAAGCCTTCGTCTTACTGCAATAGATTTATAGGATTAACTTTACAATCTAGTGGCGCTACAACCCTAAATGGGCCTTGGCCTCAGATGGTATCCTTTTCTTTGATCATTTTTATTTCGTAGTACTAGTAGGTGATCTTTGAGAGGTAGGTGAAGCTTTCTGTCTTACACATCTCGTCCATTTTTGAAGTTAAGACGTCATACCGGTTACCTCATGATAGTTTTACTTCGCCGTACGAGCATATGTTAGATGCGCACATAGAAAGTCCATTGGTGCACGACCGGGATCGAACATACGACCTTACGGATGAGAAACGCGCACTGAAGCTATTAGGCCAACGCTGCTTATGCTATATAAATATCTAACTTCAATATTCGTATTACTTAGCAATATTTTAATTAAAATACAATAAAATATTTCTAAATCGTATAATTTGTCGTTTTAAGTAAAATTAACAATACCTACATCGCCCATACTTTACAACTAGTATGGCATTAAAAATAATAACATTGATAGCCGAAGTTCTTGGACTTTAAAATAAATAATTTTAAATACGTGTTTTAATCCATCATATTGCGCCAAATAACTTATGAATTGTTTCACTGAATGAATATTAAATAGATATTAGAACACGCTATGCTTGAATAAAAACATTGACTGTAAAATGCGCAATAACTAATCAGTCATGTATGATTATTAAATGCGCCGTGCACCCATCTTTGTAGCGATCGATATACACTTCACTTATTCGTCCTGCCCTGCGATTCTGTGACTCACAATAAATATAAACAATTAACTACAAGCTTCCACCTTTTCAGAATGCCAAATCATAAAATGACTGCTTCACGACTGATTTGAGAGCGAGCCGATGCGAAAACCGCTGTGTGAGTTCAAAAAGTGAGTTACAGAATCGCAGGGCTGTAGTTGTGGGAAATGGGAATAAAGGTTATTTATAGAAAGAAAAGTAAATGTTACATCGAATAAGCTATAAATTATTTAATAACCTCAGATTGAAATAAACAAACATAAAACAAACGAGTATAAATTAAGTTGTCTGCAAGCGTTGATTCCATGAATATTCTGCGGTTTTCTTTTAAATTCAACCGCAATACAACGAAAGGCTTTGAGCGCACGGTCATATTTCTTCTTTTGTACCTTACCTGATATTGTTATTTGCGTAGGGCAACGAACCTATTCTGCAACAACTATGTATTCTTGGAAATTATCAAAGAGTAAATTTATCATTCAACACACGGTTTCATTTGACTCATTGTAGTTTAGGGTTGGGGATAGATGATACACGGCCGAATTTTAAACTGAGTACGGAGGGGATTTTAATTGGGTTTATTTTTATTTCCATTTTCGATTTTTGGAGACTTATACGTATACCTCACTAGTCCCGAGTAATAGAAAACATTACACACATTGATGTTTTCTTGGACACTTCAGGTTATAATTTTAAATTCCAAAAGTTATATGTATATTTAAACACGAAAGTGAGAAAGTGAGACTATTCCGATAATTTAACTACCAGTTATGTTTAATATCAAATATTATGTGAGGATACAAGCTAGTAAAGTTTAGTGGTTTCCTTCCTAATTGTAATTCCTGGATTGTTTCTTTAGATAAAACATTTATATGCCTAAAATTATAAAGATGAAGTTTTGATTTTTGATGATTAGTAAAGAAAAACTCAAAACTACTACTAAAAAATTTCATTCACAAATAGAGTGCTACGTTATCCTGAATAAAATAGGTAAAATAATCCGCCAGTCCAAGCGAACCTACTTACTAAAAAAGTCTAACAAAATGTACCTCATGATGTATGACTAGATACTTTAGGTACATTTGATAGTTTATAGCACATCACACCTAAATTCAACGACCTAACAATTACGCATTTAATTTAATTTTGATTTGAGATTTGTATTAGGCGAAGCAGTCGAGTAAAATTGACATAGTAAAAAAAAATTGTGCGTGTACTAGGTGTACACACGTAATGGTAGGGGAGCCCAAGAGGGGATTTCGGGATTTACTAAAGCGCGGCAGATTAATATACAGGGGGATAGCTTGTACTCGGTTAAGTACCTCCACAAAACATGAGGTCCATATATAAAGCCGCCTGTGAAGGAGACAGGATCAGATTAGTAAAAAAAAATTGACCATCAGAAATTCCCGAGCGCATCAGATTAAGGTAGGGTGAGTTAATTACATCCTAAAAAGTGTATATTCCACTAATCTGACAATTTGAGAGTGACGGAAAAAAGGGGAGGGCAACAAAGTTGTAAAAAAAAACGTCATCTCGACATTCTCGAGCGTAGCTAATTTTTTTTATTTTGAAGGAAATAATTCAAGAATAATGAAAAATATATAATCTGACGATTTCCGCAAGCCGAAATAACAAAAATTCGTCGATAAAGTTAAATGCGTGCAGCTGCGTGATGCCTACATTTCCTTAAACCGATCGGAATCTACTAAACGGCGTTCTAAATATTTCCCTCAAAATTACATTTCCTGTGAATTTGAACCGATTCGGACCGATAGATTTTGAGAAATTTTGAAAAATCTTAAAAAAATAAGAAATATTTTTTTTTAAAGTGGTTTCTTTATCGATCAACTTCAAAAACTAATCCACCTTTGAGCTTGAAAAACCACGTTGATCGCCACTAAGCTGGTCAAAAGCGGTTGATTCGTTCGAGAGATATCGTGAACGAAAGAAACCCGAAAAAGTGTTTATTCGGGATTACTCCGAAATTTGTGGTTCGATCAATTAAAATTGCAAAATTACTTATGAGGATGATAAAACTGCGTCGAATGCCGCCAACCGCGTGAAAATTGCTTGATCCATTCAAAAGTTATTGCGGTTT